CTAGGGACAACTTTTCTTCATACAAAAGGGGCCTTAGATTCATGTTTCTCTACAAGGCTCGTGGTGACAACTCTCATTTTATTTCATTCCCCCTAGGTGTAAAGAAATTGTATTTTTAAGCAAGTTTAAGCTAGTTACAAACCCCGAGGCACAATACACCTCTTTTTCATTTTTCTCAATACAGCTCATGAGATCTTACCCTACGAAACTGTTACGTACATCAGTACGTGTATTATCAGAAGCATATATGTTATGTTATATGGGTTATATGCTTCTGGTATCATTTATGACAAAAACGGTACCCTGAGAACATAAATACAAGCTTTCGAACTTGCCAAATCTCACCATTCTGAGCTAACCGGAATCTCAATGTACACTAAAGAAAATCTGCACCAATAAATGACGGGCAAATATGCGTCAGGAAAGTATATTCAAATTCGACAAAAGGTGAATTCATTCATACTGCCATGGGTTGTTTCACAATAACTGGTATTTGGATAACAGCTGTAATCCTCCACGTCAGGTCCTGTCCGCTGTCAGTTTACGAATCAGGACAAAAAGAGTCGTGAAAAGAAGATGTTTCCTTCGCCACAAGCGTCCTATTTAGAGAGGAAGCTTCGTTTTATAGCTGAAGCTCTGCGATTTTATCCATTATTGCAAATTTTGCATCAAACGCATTGTTTTCCGGCGAGCCAAGATTTAGTTCATCAAAACAAAAATGTTTAAAACTTTGGTCTACGGGTAGCGGTTATTGATTTCGTCCGCAGGGTCGGCAAGTTCACAGGGTGGGCAAGTTAGCGTAGAAAAGCGAAACCGAAGAGACTGAAACTTGAATGGTATAATTCGGTTTGAAATCAGAACAATCAGCCGGCTGTACAAGACATTCTCAGTCGAAAAACCCCGTTCACGAGTTCGAGAGAAAGCAAAGAAATTACCCAGCACCCGATCTGAGGCTCCGATGCTTGAGTCTTATCTATCAGCGAATGTGGTTAACGTTTGCCTGGAATTGTTTAATTTGTAGTGATATTTGGCATAAACACCACGAGTGATATTTTAAAATTGTTATGCGTAATTTCACGAGCCGTTAGGCGAGTGAAATTTGAGACAACTTTGAAGTATCACGAGTGGTATTCATGCCAAATATCACGTACAAATCATGCTATTATTTGTTTATATTAATACCCGCAAAAGGTTTGTAATTTTGACATGTACTTATTTCAAATTAAGCTGAAATACCACTGCTCTAAGCCAATCAAATTGCAGAAATTTTTCATGTAGTAGTATAAACAAAGAAATGACTTGTAAACGACAAAATCACAGCTTCTTGACGAACAAATATACTTTCCAAGCATTATATCAATTGTGACAAAAAAACATAAATTAAATGACTGTTAGGCTAACAAGTTTTCAGAAACTTACAATTTCAATCCGTTTTAATCTTCTTCAAGTTTGTCCATCCGTGTCTACTTTTATTTTTGCTGTTATTAATACCTTTTAATGTTTCGAGCAATTATTTTATGTTTCACTCAATTTGGTAGCAGTTGCTGCAGTGAGAATTTTAATCAAATTCTGGATACAGCTCCTTTCAGCTTACATCCACAAGGAGAAAACCATTCAGTATGTCGATCTCTCGTGCTTTAAAAATAGGAACCACAAAAAACTGAAAGATATCGCATCCACTTATTCAGATCCCTAGAGGTACGGGCGTTCGGGTAGTTGGGTTTTGTTCAGCTACTCCATTACTATCTCCTCTGCCCCCTCCCAGAAAAAAAATGAGAGTTTCACCACAATCCTTTTCACATGTTGAAAGCCAAAATAAATTACCATAAATTTGATTTGAATGGAATAAACCGAAAGGCCACAACCTCAATACAACAAAAAGGACAAGCCACAAATAGCCCATTTCCGATAAAAACCAATGTTCATTCAACTTGAAAACATTCGTCGTGTTTTCTAACTCAAATAAGAACTAAATGCTCCGTTTCGACCCCCAGACTGAGTGTATGAAGAGTAACGATGTACGAATTACCTGGTCAATTCACAGCACTTACAAGTCGGGAACAAGCGCCACATACGCAATTTAAGTTTTTTCTTACGTCCAAAAAGAAATACCATACTAGTCGATTAGTGATTGAGAAAGTACTCAAAGAATTTTAAATTTTTTTCATCGAATCAGAGAAACACACAGGCAGGAAAGTTTTTTTACGTCAAAAGCATACGTCACTACGTTGCTTAGTAACCTTCTCACCGAAAACTAAAGGGCGAAAATGTGTGCTGTTAGTGAAAAGAAAAGCTAGTTGGAACAATAATTACAAACAAATAAACAAACCTCGTTCCAAGACGGTGTGTTATGGGACTGACAATGGCAACCCTTAAATTTAAGTAACTATACGACATTGAATACAATTTTCAACACGTATCCAAAACTCGGCTTGGTCCTTAGTATTGATGACTGACAGACGCTAGTCAAAACTAAGATCAGTGTGGCAAGGTGGATTATTTATACAACGCTAGTCGAACTGGTACTCAATAGAAACCTTAAGGATTCTAAGACGAGGACGACTACGAAGATGAGATTTGACATACAGTTGTTCGTGTATTCTCAAAAAATAGATACCCTGGAAAGCTTCATTGTTCACTTTTTTTTTTCACCAGAAAAGTTGACACGGTGATTTTTATTGAAGGAGGTTAAGCCCTCTTCCGATCGCAAAATGACAAAACTCCTAACATTTGATTCACTTGTTTCCGCCACTACGACATCATGTTTTCGTCTTCGAAGTAGAATGACGTCGGTTATCGCGTTTTCCCGCCAAAATGACGCTGGTTCACGCGCGCACAACTTAGTCTTGAGAAAATCTCGTGCTCGTAGTCGACTTTGTCTTAGAATCTAACGGTCTCTATTGTACTTGAATTTCAATCTGAATATACTTATAATGATCAGAAAAGAGGGCTGAATGTTACTCAACACTATAGAAAGCCGTTGATATTGGCACACGCTAACTATGGCTTTTAGTCCTGTAGTACCAAAGGATTCCAGTACTTAGCTGTTTAGTCAGAACCAGAACCTCTTCAGCATCAACACGTATGAAACAACGGTGCCAAATGACAATAAGGACTTTAAGATCCAACGACGCGGACGGTAACGAGAACGTAAAAAAAAACAATAACAACAACTTTGCATGTGCACCATGCTTTTTTGTACATTTCTCTGCCCGTTTTTTGCACGACTAGGACGTGAACATGCCTAATTTCGCGTTTTATGGAGGACTTAAACAAGCAACGACGAAATTTCATTTCTCTTTCTGTACTTGTGTACGGTGCCTAGGAATTCAGCTCCAGGAGGGTTCGCCTACATTTGACAAAGTAAGTGGGTAAGAATAATTGCGATAAAGAATGAAAGAACGCAAATTCACTTTTTAAGCGACGTTCTCATTGCTGTCGCTTCGTTGGATCTTAAATTCCCTAATAAAGAGTTTTGGCAACGACGACAGCGGCGGCAGCTTTTCGTACCTCGTCAAGATTATTCCAACCCACTCAATATGCCACATGCAGGTATCAAATTACCAGGAATTGAATTCTTTTAGGAAGCACAAAAGTTTAGAAAGACAGAGATGCGATATCACCCGTTTAGGTCCTAGCCTCGTATCAGCAACTTGTTGTTTCATGACAATGTAACGGCCAAGAAATGAATGAAAGGTTCACGTGCTGAGTTGCTTGCTTATTTTTATTTTCTATTTTTTTTTTTCCCGAAGTTCTTGTTCTCGTTGCCGTCGTGGTTACTGAAGCTCCCAAATACTGTACCAATACTGGACACCAGTACATACGAAGTTATTTTTTCACATATCAGTATCGCCACGCAACAGTTGACAAAAATGTCGAGTTAAACAACCAGCCCTCTCCCTGCTCCACAAGCCTGCGCTAGCTGGTGCCCACCGATGACCTATAATCGCGCGGGCTTATGGATACAGTTAGACCAGTTGAATTGCATAATGTTCTAGTAAAATTGACACTTCGATATGGTCTGGATATAAGGTCCACGGCAATAAATATAATACTTTATAATTTTCTAAAGATTTCTTTTAGTTGGGAAAAACGCTATGTACAATTTTTTTTCTTTTTATATAAGTAGAAGGTAATCTATCTCTCTTGAAATTAAATAGTTACGTAAGGCTCCAGCTCCGCAAAGGTGGAGGAAATTTTTTTTTCTCACCTTCCACTAAATCTAAAGAATCACTGGTGACATGTTGTTCAAGTCAAGTTCTAGCTGAGCCACTGGGTATACAGAGCAAATAAATAAAAAGAACCAGAACCCTTGCGGGAACCAATGCGGTACCGCGAGAGTGAAACAAGGTGCACTCACCAATATTAGTTTTCAGAGCCCTAAGGCATCGGTGCCGCCCCTCGATTCAACACGCAGTGATCCTTTTGGATAAGTGACCAGTGGCAAGCAAGAAAATGATATTCAATTTTTAGAGAATATTACAGACATTTTGAATAATTCAACAGACATTTTGAATAATTCAATAGAGTTTTGTAAGAACCATTTGTATAACGAAATGGTGCCTTGAAGGCACTACGCAGAAAGTTTCAAATGGAGAGGGAAAAGGAATTAGGTAAGTAGACATTTTGTTTAAAATGCCACCAATTGATTGCTTAGATAACTTGTAAAACCCCAATAATCGATAAAAATAAACTTAAACCGCTCTTTCCGGGAGACTTCAGTCCTGTTGTGATGACCGGACAGTCACCCGAACTAAGGCGATCATAAAGACGATTCCATGCGATAAGAGAGGAGCTGCCTCACAAAGAATACATTCAAATTAAGTGGCTTTAAAACATACTGTACTGCATGAGAATGCTACAATTCTGCGTCAAATGCAGGCAAGTGATGGTCGACCGTATAAAACAAGTGTACAATATAATACATCAATAGGAGTGGAACAATGAGGATGAAATCTGAGAGAGATGAGAACAAGACGAGTAACTACTCTGACAACATACTATGACGAAGTGAGAGATGTACTGGACGATGAAGGAGGCTCTGAAGAAGTACCAGACGTGGAAGTCGGGTTTCGAGTAGAGACACCGGAAGTTGGATTACCGGAAGTCGTGTTACCAGAGGTGCCGCCACCGGGAGTTCGTGACGCAACGTCCTGAGAACCAAAAAAAGGGGCAAGCGTTAGAAAACAACAACATCGCCCCCAGGGTTCTCTCCCACTCGATAGAATCTTGGGAACGAATAAATGAGAGGCTTGAGTAGGCATCTTCTGTCTGCATTTCATTCTACCTGAATCCGGCTGAGCTGACGCCATTATTAGCATTTTTCTCCAGATGCACTAATTATTCATTCATTTATTCATATATTTACAAAACTTTCACCAAATAACAAATGAACAACCCTGGGTTTATCTTAACCATCTTTGGAGGAAGCGTTCAAGCCCTTTCAAGCTCCTTACGTGTAATATTTGAGGAAGTAATATCTTTCAGAAAATGAAAAATTTCTGTACGGCAAAAAAATATTTTTAAACTAAGGATCTCTGGTACTTATTGGAATAACCCCTTGCACGCCGCATTGACACAAGCATCTAGTTTGCGAGTTCATCGATTAACATTACAACAAGAAGCAGTCTGAACAGCCTAACATAGCAAGAACTTACCCATTCTTCTGCGGCTTTTTTCCAGTATTCGTGGTTATCTGTGAGATGCCTGATTGTCTCTGGTACAAATGCAAAAGCTGGAAAGGGGACATACAAGGATCAGAAAAAAAAAACAAAGAAAAATGAAATGTAAAAGAGAAAGAGAATTGACGAAAACAACACCAAATCCTTACCGTCCCAAGCGTCATAAAGATCACTGACAAAGTAATCTATAAACCACACCTGGAAATAAGGAAAAAGCATATCAGTTTCACGTAAGCTGTTAATCAGAGGGCGATGCCCGAGTGCAAGGTCTCGACTTTTAACTACTTCTTCTACTTATTTTTATCGGGTACTAAAAAGCACACCGGTTCCCAGTGTGCACACGGTTTTGTTAATTCAGAGGCCTAGCTGTACTGTGACTTCCTGCTACGCAATAATCGAAAACGTTAATTTCAATCAACGTTATGAGTACCTGAAGTCACAATAATTTGCTGGCAGGTTCTTAGCATGGTTTTAGACCGATGCATTCTACTTTGACTGCCTTGCTTGAACCTACTAACAACTTGTACTTAAATATTGATAATGGCCAAATGTGTGCTCTTAGTGTACTCTTCCTATTGTAGATCTTAAGAAAGCCATTGACACGCATGACCACAGCATACTGTTGAAAAAACTGCAACTTTCTGGTCTTGACCCGCACGCAGTTCAGTGGTTCAAATCATACCTATCAGATCACTTTTAGAGAACTTCTGTCAGACTACCTTCCTATTAGCTGTGGGTTCCCACAAGGTTCTACACTTGGACCCTTGTTGTTTCTCATTTATATAAATGACAACAGGGGTCTTTTTTGCATGAGCATGCGCGACTGCTGAACAAGCGATGTGCATGGAGGCTCACCACAGGGTTTGCCTTCATCAAAATGGCGCGTCTCAAAGCTATCATAGCGATTATTTTGCTCGTTGGTCTTGGCGAATGTGCTCGTGATTTAACAAAATGTGTAGTTTGCAAAAAAAAACTCTAACATGGTCTTTACAAAAGCGAAGTAGACAGGCTTTAACATACACGAGCTACTATCAAATTTCATCTCCCCACTTGACTTGGACAACCGCGCGCGTATATGTAGTGCCTGGAGGATTGCGCTGGTCTCATCAAAGTCTAAACAAAGTGCAGAAACGTTTGTTGATGCAAGTAAACACTTTCAATTTTCTTTGTTTTGAAATCGGAAAGGAAGAGAAATATTAAAAAAAAAAAAATAGCAAATTTCAGCGAGTGGGTTCGAAGTGCGCGAAAGCCGATGTTCAGTTCAGCAGTGAATTAATATATGTTCTACAATTTTCCCAGCACTTTAAAGCTACAAAATTAAGAGCACACGAGACGTAGATTAGTCACCTGGTGAGATGTTGGTGGTAGTCACTCTGTATGTCTCGAACAATAAAAAAAATGAATATCAATGAGACACAGTCAAAACTGCATTCAATAGGACCGAAGTTAAAGTCCAATCTTGTGACCGATTTTGATGAAACAAACGGTTAGGTTTCCCAAGAAGTACAGTAAACATGTGATGCCGACCAAAAGTTAAAAATCATTAGAACATTTAAGTTCTGGCTAAAAGCAAATTCCTGTAAAAGATGCGTTACAATGTTAGTCCACGCAAAAAGAAGAAGTTCTACAATTTTCCTATAAACAAACTTTGTATCGCTAAAATACTTAAGGCAAAAACTTTCTATTCCAACTGAAAACGGCGTGGTAGTCGCCCGCTGATCGTTATTAATCCACTCCCGAAATATGGCTAAATCAGCTATTAACAAATAATTGACAGAAATCCTCTACGGCATCGAGAAACTGATTAACATCCGATGTATAGACAAACACTAAATAAAGAACATTTTGCTCATTAGCTACGCATCAGCAATGCATTCTATGCCAATCTTTGCGGTTCTTAAAGGGGAATCAAGACACGAGTCGAGCGCCAAACAACAACAAGCAGCCATGTTCGTGTCAGACACCCTTGAGAAACTTGCTCTTTCACCTCGTTCAGCCCAACAGTCTCCACTTTAAATCAACAGATCTTTACTTATTTTGTACAACGAAGGTCTTTCCTAAGTTCCTGCTACTATTTCAATCTCAAGCAAGCTTTCAAAGTGAACAATTTGGTTCCTATGACTATGCAGCACGGTCGCTGTCACTGGTCGCGTGCTCTTTGACAAGTCAGCGGTCGCGCATGCTCATGCAAAAAAGACCCCTGTTATAAATGACCTGACTTATGTATGCTGATGATACCTAGAGTAGCGTTTCCGCTTATGACCTCACAACTCTTGAAGAAAAGTTAAATTAAGACTTGGATGAGGTTCAAAAGTGGCTGTAATCCAATAAACTCCTTATTTCGAGTATTGCTCCGAGCTCCGAGGTTTGGGGATGCATGGGAAAAAGCCTGTATGACAGACTCCAGAGAATGCAAAACAGGGCCGGAAGAATTGTAACATTTAGTGATTATAATACAAGATCTGCGGATTTTAATGCTTATATCTAGCTATGATCGCCCCGCAACTTTTTTCAGCGACAGCAGCCATTATTTGTTTATAGAGGATACCACTGATCTGCTATAATGGCAAACAAGTGATAAATAAAATACATATTATAAAACACATGTCCGTACACACCTGTGACCTCGGTACATTACACGTCAGTTTATCAAAGACAGGCATCACAACAGGTAAACCACGCCGCTTTTCCTCCTCCGTCTAAAAGATGATGAAGGATAAAACCTTGCTAACCAACAAATTTAAATAGGCTCTTTGCAGCTAGTCATTCACGTGGTACAAATCCGCCGTGATGGAGAGCAAAAGTGGCACTGAGACAAGATAAACAAAGAAAACTACCATTTCAAATTACGCATGTCTTTTGTTTGTCTTGTCCCAGTGCGACTTTTGCTCTCCAGCGTGGCGGTTTTCTACCACGTGAATGGCTAGCTGGAAACGGCCTCTTTATTCTCAGGAACATTGAATTTATGGTCCTTTTGTCTTTAAAATTACTCTGCTACAATACGTCGACTGTATTTATGTTGCGATTGTCTCTGGCTTTCGATGGCCAGGATGAAAATGGATTCAGTGCAACTTGATAAAAAATTGGACCAACTTTTTCAGGTTAATTCTTATTTTGTCGTAAAATGACCAAAAACCTATCGCTGTTGTTTTCTCTTGGACAAAACTATAATATCGTTATTTAGAGTTCCAAGATTGACAAAAGATGGCAGAGACCACTTACTTATAATTTCAGCTAAGATTTGACCAAAAAATGTGCAACACAAAAATAACATACCCTCCACAAGTTTCGCTTTTATATACCACGTCCGACAACAGACAAAATTTTGACACTAGTGCAAATTACTATCGGCACACCTGTGAAAAGTACTCGTCAGCTATTCTGTATGCCCATTCCTTACAGAGGTAGCGAGGCCGGGCTGGATTGGCGATATCAGCACATTTGATGAGCATCCTTTTGATTAATGTTCGGTTTTCTGGTGTATTAAGAGCTACAGCTGAAGATGCGGTGGAGTCAGGCGTACCCCGTCCACTGTGCTGTGAAAATAACAAGACATCAAGAATGTTCACCGCTTGATACTAAAATAAGGTTGGGCGCCCTGTAAGCCAAGCTGTAAGCGGATTATCAGCTCATCGCTGGATTCAAAAGGCGCGAATGTGTGTAACACGAGACTTGAACCGCTTTACATTCGAAGTTGGTGCCTGATTTGACCACCTTTTAACAAAGCACCGAAGGAATATTTCAAAAAGGTAACTGGCCAAAAACACAAAGTAAGAGGGGATTTTCGCCAGTCCTAACGTAAACGGAACCAACTGTAACGAAAGAACTACTTCAAAATGTGGCAATCAAATTTCAGTAAAAGTTTTCTTGGAAAAAAAAAATTAAATTTTGTGACATGGTGAAAAAAAGTAGTACTAACACAATTATGTGAAAGTACTGCTGGAGAGGTCTCATTTGAACGGTCACACCAGAGGATTTCATCCACAAACACAAGAGTTAGAAGCTCGTTACCGAAGAAGGCATAGTTCACTTTGAGTTAGAGTTCACAGTGACAACTTAGTAAGTTTATTGCTTTGGTAAGATGATAAAGAACAAAGCTGAGTCTTACCACCGAGTGTACCTCGTCCATGCTAGAAGTACGCCGTTTATTGATCGAGTTAACAAACTTTGAGAGATGTTCGAAATGCCTTGTCATCTCTGTTGCCATAACCATGTCGATTATAGCTTGACGGATTGTGCGAAATGCATCCCTATCAAAGCAAAGAAAAAAACAGTTGACGAAAAAACTGTGGCAGTGTATTCTGTAACACGCTGAACGATATGAACTAAAGGTCACTGCTGTACCAACATTAGCACATCATGTGAAGAGTGCCAGTGCCTGCCTTGCGACCGATACAGTGCAATTGTTGGTACACCACCTAAATACCCCCACCAAACTCTCGCCTTTCCGCTGTTGCCACATCTTGTACGGAGCACCGCTGTTTTCCCTACCTTGAGGATACATTGCCAATGTTGGTACATCACGCAAGGCAGCCCACCTTACCATCAGAATTTTGCCAATTTTCATTGGCACATCATATAGGAATAGGAAACGCCACAGACCCCCAAGGAATCCTATAACAGTACCCGCCTTACCGCCAATATAACGCCATTATTGGTAAGTTATGTGACGAAACCCATGACGTCACGGCGGCAATATTGGTGTCCCAAAACAATGAAATAGTGAACATCTTGGTGTTTCAAACCAGTCTTGTGGGAGTTGAACGTTTTTGTTCCAAAATCCAATAAATCCGCATAGCTTCTGGCCACGCGAGTGCAAACGCTCTATGGGATCCAAAGTGGACGTTAAATAACCAGTAGCAACAAAATTATCATACACAAAAGAAGCTTACATGTCAAGTCCTTTGAATATATTGGACCTCTCATCTCGAGCAGTTAGCTTGAATGCTAAAGCAGCATGGTGACTCTCTAACACGGCGATATCATTGTATAGGATAGCCAGCTCATTACCAGCATTACAAAGAAACGAGTTAGTGTAACCAGGATGGTCAACATCGTGTACTACAGCTGCTATTAATGACGCTATTTCATCAAGTGGCTCAAGGACGGCCTGCAAGCAAAACCAAAACCAACAGATGTGGTTACACTGAGTCTTTTCCCCTTTGGATCAGGAATATATTTCGGGAATAAAAAAAAACCGGCACGTGTGAACGCTTCCCAGGCTCCTACTGATGAAAGACATTGAAACTAAAGTAGTTTTTTAGGAATTTATCTGGGTACAGAGTCAGACATTCCAGGATTCAAAAAATTGACTCAAAAAAACACCATTTGCACGATGGCGTCATTTTACTACAACGACCAGAGTTCTTTTTGTTTTTCCTTTCATATTTAAATTTTGTAGCCCCAGTGAGGTTTAAATAACAAAAGCCCTAATTTGCAAAAGAAAGCAAAACCCTGAAGGATCCTGGTCATGGTAGTAAAATGACGCCATCATGCAAATGGCTTATTACCAATTTTAATTATTTTAAAATAATTAGCAGCCTCTATCCCTGAACAATCAATCTAACACATACTAAGCCACCTGCAGCTAAACAATCAAAAATTCCAGGCATTTTACCAGGTAGGTGAGCAAGAGAAACCTTTTAAGGGGTTTTCACGGCCCTGGAAAAAAAATGGCAAAATTCTCGAGATTTTCCAGGAATTCCTGGAATAAATTTACCGAGTGACATAACCATGGAAACGTCAAAAGGTTCAAAGGAAGCGCCATGACAGCTACTGAGATGTTTGTCTCGTGCTTCTCAGTCCAAACATAAAACAACCAATCAGAAGAGCCGCTATGAAATTCCCGCCTAAAAGACGCACTACAAGTGGTGAGTAATGCGGGAAAGAATATTGCGTCACGGTCTCCAAATAAGGAAATTACCTTGACCCTCTCTTTCTCCAAGAACACCGCTGTGGCGTGAAGAACGTCTGCTGCATGCGTGGAGTTGTGATAAGCATTCTTAGAGTGATAATTTAATTCTATTAACTGAAAAGAACAAAAGAGGACAACAATTTACTGGTGTCGTACTGTATTATAGTAAAAATCAAGTGGAAGGTTATATTTTTACATTATAATGGCGAATTCTGGTCAAAATAGGTCAACCACGCTAGCTTATACCGAATTCAAATTCAAGCAGGTCTTCCGCAGAACTTTCTTGTAGTATTTGTACTGTTAACAAGATCATAACAGACTTACTTGTAACCAATTCTTGAGAACGTCTTCAGAAATATTGAGATTCTCACAGGCCCTGAATCTGTTGAGTATCTTTGTTCCCAAAAAGTACAAGGGCCTAAAGCGAGAAACGAAGAATTCGTTTTTTAAAAAATTATACCTGCCTATAACTTTCAGTGTTTACCAAGAATGAGGGTTGAGTGTGCGCACCAGGAGACAACTAACCTTCCACAAACTAAACCACTTTAGAGACCGATTCCAAAAATATGCGTTTAAGATCTGGTCGTCTACATTGCCGGAGAGCCTTAAGATCAGGCGTTTTCTTGAGGTGCGCAATTAGTAGATTCTGGTCATATGCAGGACAGATCAAACACGGCAGGGCAAATCAGACGCCCCCGGATTCCCCCTCTTCCGCCCAAAATAAAAAAAGACAAGAAAGAAAAAAAGCCGTCTTCGCCACTTTGGAGACGAGAGGGGAACTGGAGCAGAAATGCGTCCCGCAATTGTTTCTGGGATGGTTACTGGGGACGCGCCGGTCAGCTATTGGCCAATTTCTTCCCTGCCCCTAGTAACAGTCCCAGAAGTCTCTGCGGACATCACAGTTTCTTCTCTCTCCCCAGTCTTTGCTGGAATGGTGACGGAAAACAGGAAATACTGAGAGCATGCAAACCTGGAGTAAGCCTGCACCGCAACATCAAAAGTTAACAAATCAGAGCGAAGTTTTGAAAGCAAGATCCCTACATAACCGCTTCTTCCTAGTCTTCTTTTCCTATTCGTTCATTCATTCTCAAGAGCACATCTCACCTGTGATTGGAGGCTTTTTCCAACTTGAGAATATCAAAATCCCAGTCTGCATCATCCACCATAGCTGCAATGACTTCTGATGGCGCCTCCTGAAGATGAGAGATTGGAGTCCGCACACTGCTTTGTGAAGATTCCTTAGGACCTGACAAAACAAGTTGGGACGAACTTGTCTTAATATAAATTTACATTCCGATCCATTAAGAAGACGCCCTCTAGACGAAGGCGTGTTGGTCACGATGTTATGGCCATATTTAATGTCTTCATTGATCCATCCATGAAAGAAAATTCGGGTAAATTGGAATATGATTCTTTGTACAGCAACAGAAAAAAAAATAAATAGAATCTCACAACGCTCGATTTATGGACCAAACTAATTTTCACTCTGATTTTGTCCTTTCGCTACTTTTAAACAGCCTTTGCCTCACTCCTGTCGCGGCTTTCACTTGCTCAATCCGAGATATTCCCGTGATAAAAAGATGATTACATGTCTCCAGTAGAAGACGTATAAGTATTGTCCTCAATTAGTACTTTCGTGGTAAATACATTGTGACTTAAAAATGGTGCATTTTTCACAGCTTGCCCCGGGCAAGGCGAGGAAAGTGGGGTCCGTGACAAGTACCGTCCACGTTTACTGAAGAAATGACTGCATTTTCTAGGGGCCGGCATTTTATAGAGTAAAACTGGACAATTTGCTGAAGAGCACACAACATTGAAAATGGATGCAAGAAGAGGCAGGGGTTTATAAAGTAGTTGGCGGTTTTATTCCGCATTTACACCAAATCTTAAACATGTTTAAAAGTTGTTAAGTTGAACGCGGTTTAAATTTGTTTCCGTCATAAAGGCTGCCTCATGGTTTTTGTCAACTACAACTTTGCCACAAAGGTCCACAAATGAATGCAGATGTCAATATTTCCGTGAATTCTAAATAAAACTTGTTGTTTAGTTCTCTTTTATTTCATTTCATTTCGTTAAACCGGGTTTAACTAAACATGTTTTATTGGTTTAATAGGCCTAAAGGCAGATCTTATAAGCATTAAACAAGCATTTGTCATGGGAGGCAAGCGAAGTTAAAATGGGCGTTTCCACACAACTCTAGTACGCTGTTACAGGCATTCAGATAGTCAGACAGCGCAAAGGGCAGGTTCAATCTTTGCCACATTTTTTCACTCTGTTCTTCTCTTTACACTGTCCCTCCTGTCTGAACACCTAGAACAGTCCACTGTATTATCATCACAGAGATTAGCCCTAGAAAAACATAACCAACGTTTGCATCTATCATCAGTGAGGTTAAAACAAATCAGAGTTCAGTTTGTGTTCAGTTCTAAGACGAGTAAGAAATTAACATGATTACAAAACCTTAAGAACACCGACGGCATTATTAATATTAATTCGATTAAAACCAATTATCATGAAAGTTAGAAATTATTGCAAGTGCAAGCATTAGGCTCAGACCTCTGCCAAATGTGTAGAATAAGTTCATACTTGGTTTAGGCAGCACATCACACGAAGGCCTCCTTCGGCCCTGAAATAAAACACAGAACAGTTTCACATACTGGAGAACAGCTAAGCAACTAATCGTTAACAAAAGTGTTGAAACACGTTTACGAAAGAGAGATACTAGAGGAAAAAAACCGGCTCCACTCTCCACAGATACTCCCAATCGAAGTTGGTTGTTATTTGCTGCAGACAAATAGAGTAGTGTTACCGCATTTTTCGCGGACATGTTTCTTTATTTTTTAAAGAAGATAGTGTTGGAAAAGCTAAAAGTGGGATTTGTTGAAAAGCGTTGAAAGACGTGTCAAGACTTATTTTGATGACGATAGATCAATTTGGAATTTCCGGTGATCCATGAACACTGGAAACGCAAATTAAGATTTAAAAAAAGCCTCTTTCAGCATAAAAGCAATCTCTCTCTCTCTCTCTCTCTCTCTCTCTCTCTCTCTTGAAAATCGCGAGTGGTAGGTCACGCACGACCCAGCTACAAAAGATTGGGATACTTGTGTGTTATCCTAACGTGGAGAGCTCGCTCACAGACTTTTAACCCTTTAAGCCCTAAGAGTGATCAGCATCAAATTTCTCAGTGTAATATCAATGCTTTGTAAAACAGAGAGGTCATGAGAATTACTGACATGATCACACAAGATGAATTTACTTGATATTTCATCACCTTCTCCCCACTACTTCTGTAGGAAATGAATAGGGGCAACAAATAAGAATTCAAATTTTGATCTTGGGGTTTAAAGGGTTAATTACAGACTTCTAGATTCGAGGACGAGGACGACTACGAGGACAAGATTCGACTTAAAGTTTTTTCGCGTATTCTAAAAAAAATAGACACCACGGAAAGCTTCACTGTACTTCTCTTTCACCCGAAAGTTGGCAGCGTTATCTTCACTGAAGAAGGTTAACACCTCTCCCGCGCGCAAAATGATAAAACCTCAAACATTTGACATTCGACATTCGCTAAAACTACTAGTGGTATGATGATGACTATCAAGTTTTCCCGCCAAAATGACACTGCCTCACGCGCGAGCACTGCTACGTATTGAGAAACTCTCGTATTCGTAGTCGTCCTCGTCTTAGAATGTAAAGGTCTCTATTCTTTTCGAGAGAAAACTAGAACGGCTGGCTAGCCTTCTCCCATTATTTCTGGATTCACCAAGCGCTCAGAAAGCTTTATTTTCATTGGCCTTTGAAAACAAATATGTTATAGCTTTTAAGGATTACGGGCGCGGTTTTGGTCATACATCAACTACTCATTAGAGATCTTTAGATTCCAAGATGCGACGAAAGCTTCGAGAACAAGATTTTCTAAATACTAAGTGCTGCGCAAGCGTAAACCAGCGTCATTTTGGCGGGAAAACGCGATAACCGTCGTCACTTTACTATGAATTTTAGCGAGAATGTCCTAGTGACGGAAACAAGTTATCAAATGTTAGAACTTTTATCATTCAGGTCTTGATCAGGGGAGGGCTCAACCTCCTTCAATGAAAAAAAAGTTTTACCTTTTCTGGTGAAAAATAAAGTTCAATGAAGCTTTCCGAGGAGACTTATTCTTGAGAATACGCGGAAAAAAACTTTAAATCAAATCTCTAGTAAAAAAAAAATAGTAAATCATAGTCGTCTTCGAACTGAATTTAAAAGCTTCTCTTCGGAGAGCGGCTCCATGGTACCATCGTGCAAAGTGAGGCATCAATTTTCTGTACTCACGTTGCTCATGAGACCTCCCACTAGCTCATTACTCATAACATCTTCTTCCGTTGAAGTAAAGGGAGAATACAGTTCCGCTTGTCGAAGAATTTCCTACAAACGCAGTTTGCAGAACTGTCATTATTCTGAATGTAAATTGACATGACAGTGGACAGATAACAAGTGAAGTAAACTTGATTCAAGCCTTCAAGGAAAATCTCCGAAGTTTATAGTGATCTAGCCTACCGTCGCAACGTTAGCTTAATTAGATAAGCGCCGGTCTGCCGAGCGGGTGGCCGGAACTGGTTGAAAGCCCGGCCGGACCAACACTCGGGGTGTTTAAATAACTGAGGAGAAAGTACTGCCTTTGTCAAACATCTGAAAACAGTTAGACTTTCTAGTCTTCTCGGATAAGGACGATAAACCGAAGGCCCAACCTCACAACCCTTGCACACGTAAATTCTGTTGGACGTTAAAGAACCCGCGCACTGTTCGTTAAGAGTAGGGTACATAGTCCCCGGTAGCGTGGTGGTCGATCTCGAGAGGGGAGGGACTGTTATGGGACCGCGTAGTGGCGCCACACGCTGTTGCGGTGACCCTACCAAGAATTGGCGGAACTAAGTAAAGCCTGAAAACAGCCGACATTTAGCGACGCCACCAACGATTTCTCCGCGAAACGCCGTCTGAGGAACGTGCGCAGAAATTCCATACTGATAACATATCACTATCCTGATCTTGTTAGTGCTGTTGAATGGTTGGAAATTTGGACTGCAGACTTCTAAAGAGATACTAAAACTAAAAATAGCCTGCGTAACAGACGTTTTATTTTATGAGCCAAGCAAGGCGAACGCGGCATTTCGCGCTCGTCTCGGGCTTCGCGTGAAATGCCGCGTTCGCCCCGCTAGGCTCATAAAACGCCAGTTATGCAGGCTAAACTAAAAATCTACTTTGCTTCTACGCAACAATGTGCCAACTGAGATGAAAAATGAAGATTTCTTACCAAAACTCTGTCTAGAGCATGTACAACAGACATAGGACTATTTTCTTGGGCGGCTGAAAGCATATTTATTACCTGTTAAAGAATGTGATAACAGGTGATTAATCCATGGAGGAAAACACGTGAAATGTTTAAAAAAAATAAAGGGGAAGAGTCACGACTGTCCAGTATGCTAGCTACAGCTTGCCCAAATGGCTTACTTTGCATCCTGGCCCTAACCCCAAGGCTGAGACTAAAACATCACGTTGCCAGGGTATTGCAATTAGTAGGTCAGTATGGACCTGAACAGCTAGGAGGTTGTCTTGGTTGAATCTTTCTTTAGGTTTCTATGAAAGCAGCTGGGGCCATGCTAAGAGTGGCTTGGCGAAAATCCCTGATACCTGGTTCTAAGTGAAAGCCCTGATACTAGTGCGTTAAAACTTCTACCACCTTTTTTGTGGTTTAAGGTTGGTGGGGAAAAGTGGACTAAAAGTTGAAAACAGTATTATGCCCCCATAATTATATGTATTATGCTTGAAATTAAAAATTTCAGTTCACAGAAAGAAGGTACAAGTAAGTGCTAACTTTAAAGTTACCTAAAAAATTAAGATGGAAATTGAGTAATTTCAATTTTCAGTGGACAAAAACCTTGAAACAGAATGATTTAAAGAATATTGGATTTTTACATTTTTCAAGGGCTCAAGATGTAATCAGTCATCTGTAATAACACCAAAGCAAATTTCTCGTGGGAGTCCGAGAAAATGAATCTCAAATTCCTCAAGAATTGTGAGAACACGGTGAAAATTCTGAAAATTTAATATGTAAGGTGTAATTTTGCGAAATTTGACGTTCATTTTCTCGGGCTCCAAAAATCTTTAGCCCTTGAAAAATGTAAAAAAGAACGCAATATACTTAAAATTATTCTGGTACAAGGTTTTCGTCCACTGAATTTTAAGATTGCTCAATTTCCTGGTGGATTCCGTCATAATGTCCTTCTTACTTTTGTAATGGGTGCCTCTATTTTGGTGGTCGTTGTTGTTGTTGAGTGTCTTCTAAGATAACCTCCTGATGCAGAGTTGCAAGTGTTAGATTAGGTCAAACAATAATAACATGCAACCAGCCGGGGCGGGGCATTTGCAGAATGGGGCGTCATGGGTTCATATTCCATGACCATGGCAAACACTCAGGGTCTAAATTAATGGGCCTTATTCACGATACCCGCCATCTTTTCAAGCGACTTAGAATGAGTCTCATCAAGTTTTATGTCACTATTACTTGCTGTGAGGACACCTACAATCCTTTCAAATAAGTTTCAACTCTTCCACTGTCATTCAGTATCTTATGTCATCAATACACTTCTGAACTTTCAGCTTATAAAGCATCAATTTGACTAGCATCACGATTTTATTCACGAGTGTGGATTAAAGGACATATATAATTATCTGAATTTCATCTGGACTGCACTCAAGATTTGTGAATGTCTACTTAAAAAATATTATAATTTGAATTCATTATTCTTTAATCATACCATTTGTTAATGTATTTATTTGGACCTGCTCTGTGACTCCACCGGCTGTGGTTGGCTGAAAGAAAACGAATTCTATGTTAAAAGGCTACACCAATGTAAGATGTTGTCATCACATTCATGACATTCGAAACTTTACAGCAAAGGGAAAGATAGTCAAAATTGACAAGGCAAAGCGTATGCTGTCCTCACACATCAAAGATAAACTTACCGAAGCAATGTTAACTTCCATGTTCATGTTGACTTGATTAAGAGGATTGGCTTGCGAGAGTTCTCTCTTCAACGTGACATGGTGCGAGACTTTCCTTTAAGCAAAGAGCAGCAAATTGAAATTATTAATTGGCGCCTGGGTGGCTCATTTGGAAGAGTGCAGCTCTGCTAAGCAGGACAGCACTGGTTGAAACCCTGATTGGAACACCAGACAGGGTGGAACCCGCCTCGGTGCAGTTTGGGGGTTGATGTTGAGTTGTTGGTGTTGTGTCCTTCATTTGAAGGGGATGGACAGAAGCACAGAACCCACAACTCTATTCAAAACAATCATGGTCTAGACCCTTTTAAAGTTCCACAGTGACTGACTTCAAAGAATAAAATAATAACTTAGTAAGGAAACCTATTAACATTTCAGAAAAATCCTTACCCTCCTTTGCCAATGACTGGAATAATATTGACATTTTGTAAGAAAGTATCCCCATTTCTTCTTTTTCCTAGAACTTTTCCCTCCCATGGCTGAAAAAGAAACAAAAAATTTTGAGGATCAAAATGGCTAGTGCAAAATGATATAAATGTAGTTTTAAATTAACGAGCAGTATATTGTAGCAATATAAAAACGGTTTTACAATGATGTATTGGTTGTAACTGACAAGAATAATTACTATTCTTTGCAGCAAATCTTGACAGGTCAGTGACTGGTAGCATTAACTTGTGCACTGATGATCTTTTGATCACGTACATGTGCTCTTTGCCCTCGCCCATCATAACAATATTACCGGTAATCATAACTCTAAAAAAACTCTCTAATCTGATTGGCTATCAGCAGTCCTGATTTCAGCAATAATAGGACAGTACGTGTCAGGCCTAAGTAACAGGGACCTTGCGAAACTACAACAGCAACAGCAACAGAAACATCAAAAAAGGAATAAGTTTAGTAAGCAAAACAACTCTGCACGTGCATCCCGCTTTTTTGGATATTTCTTTGCTTTACTGGGGCACAGTCCCCTCTCTCTTCAGCTCCAACCTAAATTCCCTTCTTTTAAGTAAAGGGTGACTTAGGATAATCGCAAAATAGTTGGAAAGGATGCAAAGTCTATTTTTCAGCGGTGTTTTCATGGATGTCGCCCTTGTCAGATCGTAAGGTCCCTATTGGACAGTACGTGCCATCGCATGGGTGCACTTGAATAAAATATAATAATAAAATAAAATATTATTTGTTTGTCCTGTGATGACGTTCTCTCCTTGATTTGCCTGTATTACATACAGTTAACATTAATTTTACAAACAGTATCTTTTCCAGTTCCTACTAGGTATTTTCTTGCACAGGTTTACTGTGTTATGCTTTAGATGTGATCATAAAATTTCCTTTAAGTTTCCTTAAACTGACCTTCCCTTTCTTTAAGTGTGCATGTATAGATTCGTATGGTTCCTAAATTAAAACACAATAGACAAGATAAATAAAGATCTGCCATCCTTTGGCAAGCAACTACAACAGCAAATTCAGTAAATAGCAGTGTAGTCATCTACTGACAATTTTGTCGATGTGGACTCTGGTAACTGGTCACTTGATAAAAGGCGGATCATATCAAGACAATGGGCATTACTTATTTAACTTCTTGTTTAAAAAAGGTCATCTGGTCAGATCCTCAAAGTTGATTCATAAGAGTGCAATTTGCTCCATGGGCAACATGTCAAAAGGAATGGAAGAACTTACTGGTTTCTCATGTTCACTATTCATGACTAGGGATTTAGGATGCCCAATAACTTCTGACCTCCAGTACCCAGTCATTCTCTCAAATGCAGGGTTAACATACTGAAATGCAACATAATAAAACCCTGTTATTAAAAGGTGACAATTGAGAGTAAAAGCTCAAAAATTTATACTTCAAGCTTTTCATGATACTTCCCCGTGCAATAATTTATGTATATTATTATAATGTATATTATTATAATTTGGAAGAAGAAGAATTCTAAGAACAGACAGCTCAGAAAAAATTCTGAACTCCAGGTGAGATAAGAACTCATGACCCTCCGAGTTGTAGTTTGGACGCTCTAACCACTGAGCTACTGGAGGCTCTATGGCGACCCTTAGAGCAGGGTCGAAATTGAATTGTAACTACACCAGTCAACTGAAAAGGGGACTTGCTCAAAATCGGCCGTCCACCAGCAGGTTAAAATAACAATATATAGGTTTTGCCAAGGCCAAAAGCAAAACTCTTGTAAGATTTTTAAATAATATCCTTCTTACTTCATTCAACTTTCAACATAAAATAGAAACAAACTGAATTCCTCCTGAAAAAACTGGACCTGAGCCTGTGATCAATTAAAAACCAATGACTAGTCAGCAGGAAACTTTAAAAAAAAATGTAACCTCAATGAGTTGTAAAAATGAGCCTGTGATACAGTCATGTGATACAGGTCAGCGGTTACCCTGTTTTGACAACTGTCAATTGAACATAACATGGATGTCCAATATCAAGTTAAGCACAGATTGTATGCAGCCTTGGACTTCAAGCTGGTAAGTGCATCACTTTTTACATCTGCCAACATGAGAGGGTAGATGGATGGACAATAGACCTTTTTACCAATATGGCGGCCATATTGAATTAATTCGATTTAAGGAATATAATAGGATGCCCAGGGGGCATGAGCAGCACATTTCGTTTGTATTTTCGAGCGCTTTTATTATTCTAGTTTAGTATTAGAAATATAATCTTTCACTGTATATTTCTCGGAAAAAAGGCGATCATTATTACATCCAAACACGGCACAAAGATCTTTTTTCCCATTACAATCTTATTCTAAGAAAACTTTAAGAAAAAAATGTCCCGAAAAGCGCTCAAAAATACAAATGAAATGTGCTCATGCCCCCTGGCATCCTTTAATACTCCTTAAATCCAATTAATTCAATATGGCTGCCGTATCGGTAAAAAGGTCTATTTTGTCACAACCACAATTTCTTGGATGCAAAGAACACAGCACCCGCAAGAGCTCCACTAATACTACACATTTGCATGATATCAAAAGTTCTTGTTGCATACCTCAACCCGTAGCTCAGGCTTCTCTGGGTCCAGACTTGTTATCTCGACAGCGTCATGAGAATTCTCGATTGCACTGAAGAGACAGCTTGTTGAGCGGAGTTTAAACATTGACTGTACTTCTCCGTGTTCCAACATGAGCAGCTCATTGTGGCAGGCACCAACATTCGCATTTTCAACAAAACGCTGCAGGGTGAACAAAACAAATGTCACCAGGTTGTACCTAACTGTCAACCAAAGACCTTTACCATTTAAAATAAAATAATAGGCCTTTGCATGAAATTATCAAATTTTTTGAGTCACTTATGGAGAGTTTAAAACCTCTAAACAGTCTCTCTTTAAAGCTAAAGGACAAACACCTCTGAAGTTAAGGACCTTTTTTTAAGAAGTGCTAGCCTGTTGTTCTTTTGTTGCAAAAGTACAAACAAGTAAGCAAACAAGAAGGACAAATTTAATCACTCTGATAACATAATTCAGTAACTACACATCTAAATGACAAACCCCTCACTTAGGATAAGCACGGAAAACTTCACTTCTTAACAAAGCTTGGGGTATATAACAGGCCAGCAAAATAATTAATTTTTTCCTTTGACAAATATCCAACAAGTTCACCATGTTAGCAGGACAAACAAGAAAAGTTGTTGGAAATTCAGTATGTTGACCTTGATCCCTTTAATTACAGTGGAACCTTGATTTAACAAACCTCTATATAACAGAAGTAACATAACATAAGTCCCCAGAATATAAACAATTTTCTTTAGCACAGTAATAGTAAAATATATGAAAGAGAACCTTGATATAACAAAACCTCGTTAAGGTGAACAAATTTTGTCAGTTACTTGGCCCTTCATTATATTGAGGTTCCACAGTACTATACAAATCTTTAGCTACAAAACAATAATAGCCTTTTCAATCAGGTCTATCTGGTCATCATGTCCAGCCTTAGGTAGGATTTTGTCAGACCTACATGGGCAAATTTTACTCAGACATTGTCCAATGACCATCTGTTGTTTGTAGCTCTCGAGATAATACATGTTCTTCCTGCCTTGTTACAAACACTTCCAGAAATATGTTTTGTTTTTGTTTTGTTTGTTTCCTTTTTCATTTACAGACATGGTGTCTAAAACTACATACCCTGTCAAATCCTGCCTTTAACAGTGGAAGCATCAATGGCTCATCAGTTCGAGGACTAAATAGATAAACACACAAAATGGAGAATCAGTAGCTTGCAGTGTCTGATTCTGGACTACAGGGGATAACGCAACTTTTCAAAGGTGTCAAATATCTGAGCTAGTTTCCTTTAAGCCTCAATATCCACCTACAAATGCTCCAAACTGATCTTTATACATTTTCTTAGAGGATTAGTTGAGAGAATTTGATAACAGATCGATCAAAGAAGTTTCTCTATGGTGATCATGCAATTTATGAATTCTCATGTTCATTTCTCTTGACAATGTATGGATATTATTAAGAGAAGATTGATGTTTGTCATTATATTGGGATTTAAAGGGTTAAACAGCATTCATTATCAAAAGATAATTAGCTATACCCAAAAGCCAATATTCTAAGTAAGTAGTAGCCATTTAAAATCACATTATCATTATAATAAATGTACATGCACATTCAGAAGTTTTGAACCAGAAACACCAGTTGAGAACTGTAACATTTCAATTCAATTAAAAAACAAATTACACGATCTGCATAAAACACTCTAGTTTTGAGGGTAATTTAAACCTTTTTAAACAGTGCGGTCAAGTCACTGCTATTCTTTGACAGTGCTTTGAAATTTTGCAACCCCTTCCCTTTTTTCTTTTTTTTTTTTTTCTGTTTTGTTCTTTTTTGTTGTTGATATATATTATGGTCAATGTATGTACACGTGTTGTACGTTTATAAAATTAAACACAAATAAATAAATTAAAATGTTGCTGCCAGTATCAAAAAATGAGAGGTCTATATACCCAACTAGTGTGATCATAATAATATGAAAGCTGCTTAACTCATGTTATCTTTCTTGTTAGTCAACAACATAAGATTAGATCATAAACATTAATGTTATGTGTAGTATTGACCTGACTACACCTAATTGCGACCTTCATCTGCTAAACTTTCCTTCGCAATCAAGACAGACAACATTACTTACAAAAAAAGAAAAAATACCTTTTTCCTTGAATCGTGAACTTGCGGTACTGAATGTATTAACTCAAGTAAAATAAAACTGAAATCCTCTTAGAATCTGAACCATGTTTTTGTGTTACTGGTCAACTAACCTGCATACTTTAGAGTGAATTTCAATATCAATTTCTATATGCACCATTCAAAACAGTTCCTCTTCCACTTTTGGGCTGCTTAACATTAATTTAATACCAGGCATTTGTGACTGACCACTCTTTGTCAATTCACATAGTACCCTTGAGCTCTGAACAGTTTATGTGCATGTAAAGCTTGTTTGCAAAGGAGAGTTTGATTTGAAAGTGGCACGTAAGTGAAATCAAAATACAACAGTGCTTGACCAGACCTGTCATCCGTCCAGATGCCACATGTGAAAATTTTGCGGAGGCAATGGGATTTCACTTTACTAGAAAGTGTAATAGAGTGAAGTTAGTGATTCTTGTCTTTTTTATCACACAATGTAGATGTATATATCTTTTTCCTCTTGACACTGAAAAATGCCACCACTATTTAATACTGATTGTTATTTGTTTTGTCTCTTTTCTTCCAAACATCCTTTACGTCACTATTCTCCACTGTGTTAAACTTTTTTTAAAACTACCATCAGAACCCCCACGTAACTTTTATCTGTTATAAAACAGGCAAAGATACGAATGCCTCAAACTGTGAAAAATTAATAATTTTTATTAAAAAGTCACAAAAAGTCAGATCCCTGTAACAAGACATAGAAAAATTTACCCTAAGGGAAAACACATGACAGTTAAGTGTTACACATACAAACACAAGTGGACCAATGGGAGTCTAAGCAGCTTTCATTTACTAGGCCACACTAATGGATTGTCATTCATTCTTTGTATCGCCGGCTGTTACAGGTAAAATCTGAACTCAGGCTAAACCAACCGTATTTAACCTACTTTAAGAGTTAGTTTTTTGCTGGGGTGCTAAACTGGGTAGAAGTTACCTTCAACATCACCTTGCCATACTGATGAACAAACACCAAAAAAGATAAAAATTGGAAGGATCAAGCAATTTGGCTCATTTTAGCAAATTGAGGAGGTTTATTTCGACAATGGCATTGAATCAAGGATAAACGGGATTTCATGACTTGCATACTCTAACTGAAAGTTCTTGACAAGCAAGGATGTGCATATCAAAAAAACCAAAAGAGAAACATTTAAACCTGACAATGACAATACTGGCTTGATTCTTATTAAGCCTACAGTCAAATTGACTAAAGCCTGGTTTCCTTCGCTGTGATCACTGAGAAAAAAAAAGTTCAGTGATCGCTGAGATTGAAAAGTGCCATTTCAGCGATTGTTGTCGCTGAGATAGCTGGAGAGTGGGCTTTAGAGACTTCCACCGAATTTCCAGTCATGTTTTTGTTTCCTGCATTTTCATGGTCATCAGGTTTGTCAAAGAACTTTAAGACCCCTCTTTGAAAACAACATTTTTAACTTCATAATAGCACAGACTATCTTAATTATCATTATCATTTGCATTCTTACCTTCCTTTAACAACAGCAATGATTATAGAGTTCTCTCGTGGACCCTTTGCTCGTATGATTCTAAGAGCAAGCAAGAAGACAATGGTTGCAAATTAATAGAATGAAGGGATAAATTGTATGTGTTCCACAGTTTGGGCTAAAGGTAGAAATCTAAAGCATGCATAAATGTCTTTAGGAACTCCCTAATTTCTATTAATTACTATAATATTATGCCACAGAAGTTATCATCCTCTAAAAGGATTACTGGACATCTATAACTACAATTATGTGCATTGAGAATGATGATTTTTCAGTCAGTGACACAGCCAGCTCACAAGAATAAATACAAATACTCCCAATAGTACCTCAACCTATGACCTTAGTTCTGGTTACTTGTCCAGATGCACTACCAATGAGCTACAGGAGACTTGTGGGAGCTAAGGCCACTAAACTAGGTATACTTAAGTGGTGATAAAGGACTTTAAATAATGTGTGATAGTGTAATATAGGGCCCTGCTAGGGCAAATTAGCCCTGTGGCCCCTGGCATCCAACATTTCCCCACTGGAAAACTACAAAAACCTTCCTTTTTTCATACAAATCATATGTTGGGCACCCTAGATTTTAAAGGTTTAAAGCACTGGGTTCCCCTCAATTTTCCTTAGAGCACAGCCTTGATGATGGCTGTTCATTCATGAAAGGTTGAAACCATAGCATTACAGATGTGGTCACCTATAACAGGCAGTAACTTACAAGAGGTGGATGCACATGGAGGTCCCACTAAACCCTACTGTTTGACTAATTGGCCTCTTGATCTAAGTTCTAATTTTTGGAGAGACTCGAAGCTAAACTTCACAAATTTTTCTGGTGATGTAGATTTTATACCCAAACCTTCTTCATAGTATCTTTGTTATCAATTCACAGATTATCAAAAAGTCTGGGAGGTAAATTTAAAAAATACCTGCAAAGTCTTTCTCCATCAATGACTGAATTTCCTCTCATGTCAATGAATATTACCTAAAGCAAGTTCAGTACATTAATTACATTAGTAATATACATACTGTATATAATTCTGGAATAGGCCAGTTTGCAATTAAAATAGGCTGTTTCTGAGTTCCTAAAACTCTCAGTTTAAAAAATGAGGCTAAGTGCAAAACCTTTCTTGTGAAAATGAGATTTATTTGCATGAGATTGAAAAAATCCTTTTCATATCAATAGCTTCACACTAAGCCTCTCTTTAACCTTTTAAGTCCCAATAGGGACCAACATCAAGTTTCTCCTAACAATATCCATAAGTTGCCAAGAGAAATGGTTATGAGAAAATGACCAGTAAAGAAGAAATGCTTTGATCTGTAATCAAGCTCTCTCAACTAATTCTTTAAAGAAATGTATGAAGATCAATATGGAGAATTTATATGTGGATATTGGGGCTTAAAGGGTTAAAACAGAGGCTTAGAGCAACTCGGAATTGGCTCCAGAGCTGAGGGGAATAAAGCAGAAGAATCAAATTATGGATCCCCCAATCTCAACACCATTTGTTTTGTTTTATTATCTTGAGCTTTGGAGCCTTGTATGAATTTTAACAATTTGAAACTGGTCTTTTAGACCATCCACTGATACAAGTAGATTTTGCCCTGGGCAAGCAACTTTCCCTGCCCAATGGCTTGACTAGTTTAAGTTTAGGCAACTGGTAAATAAGGGATTAAATTGATGTGATGTTCAAGGTGTCATTAATATCATTCTTAGTTATTGGTTAAGGAGAAGACAAATTAGGATGATGACTAATCTCAGCCAGAAAACTACTATATTTCTTTTCACAGCAAGAATACTCACGTTCATTTCTTACAGATAAAGATGTTTTAAATCTTTCATTTCACTACAATATATGAAGCCAAACTCTATAAAACAAAGATCTGTGAAAAGCTAGATTTATACTAGAGGAGATTTTTCCTTATTCATAACATTAATCCAAAATGTAGTGTTTATTACTAGACTTGGTATTTTAGTATAAATTCCTTTGCCATTAGATAACTGATTATCATTGGATAGCATAACCTTAACCACAATCATGTGATTAAACCACTATTTACCACATTGTAAATAACACTGAAGAAAGAGACTAATAAAGCAGTTGTGTGAAGCACTTCAGTCACTTTACCTAGACAAAGATATTATTTTCAAGCTAATAAACATTTTCACCACAGAAAAAAACCCTTTTGCACAGAGGTAAACAAAAAAAAACTAAATATCTGCAAACTTTAGCTTTACAAACTCAACACACATGTGCATTAACATACATCAACACACGAAAATGTGGCAATAACAAGCTGTTGTTAATTTTGCCTCATTGAGAGCAGGTTCTTTTCTCTTGAAAATATCACTTTTGTGGTTATGAGCCAAGAAGTAATTCAATGGAATGACAGCACTGAAGTTCAAGGTCACAAAGTGAAAAACAAAAAGAAGAGAGTCAAAAATGCAGATTACATGAAAGCAAAATACAGATGTAATTGGGTGATAACTTGGATTTTAATTAATTTCTATGTCATATACCTGTACAAAGGGCTGTGCTCAAACAGTGCCAGGTGGCTTCTGTTGCCTTACTTTTGTTCTTGGGTGATAAGGAAATCTTCGCTTTTTCATAAAAATAATTCTATGCTAGGCACCTTGGATTACACAGGTTTAGAGCACTGGGCTCTAGTCATTTTTTCTTAGAGGGTAGCCTTGTATATTACCTATTTCAGTATCCCCTATAGTTTACCTTGAGACAGAACAAACATTTTGTAATGTACACATTCTTAAAAAAATAAAAACTTGTAAGTTTGAAGGAACTTTCTCTCAAAAAGCATGGTAAAACTAAATCAAACTGCTTTTTCTCTTTTTCAAAATAACTGATGACTAACATTTTGGAATTTAACGAAAACCAGCGCGCTTGAAACCAGGTTTCTACTTTATGCTACGACCTTTCAAAATATACGTTCAATGTTAACTATTGAAATGAAAGGCAATCTTACATCTGGCTGCACATTAATGTACTGCTCCATTGCCTCTTCAGATGTTTTACAGATCTGACACACATATCCTCCTCTTTCAGCAGCGTGAACGAAGCTGTCTGTTTGGGCATCTTCTTTTGAAAACACCAGCATGATCTGTGATGGGAACAAGAAGTTTGCAGAGTGATAAATTTGCTTGAAAATTGCCGACTTCTTCCCACGACTTCTGTGGGAAATGAATAGAGGCAACAAAGGAGAATTCAAATTTTGATCTTCGGGTTTAAAGGGTAAAGGTCAGTAACGAGGGCAACAAAAACATGTGACTTGTTTTGCAACATTGCTGAAAATGAGTTGAACAGTGATTTTGAGCATTTTACCACCCATGAATCAAACTTGTCCTTCAACAAATTTTGATCCTCGAGTACAAAGGGTTAAGGTCAGTAACAAGGGCAACAAAAACATGCGACTTGTTTTGCAACATTGCTGAAAATGAGTTGAACAGTGATTTTGAGCATTTTACCTCCCATCAATCAAACTTGTCCTTCAACAAATTAGGCTGTTGCAGGTTGCAAAAAGTTGTTGCAATGAGTAGAAGGAAGTTTTCTTTTTAAAACAAAATCTGTACATGTTGCACATTTTACCCATCCTGGGCAAACTTGTTTTGCAGCAAGTGATGTAAATTCTGTGTATGGTATGACTCCTGCGTAATTTTGACCAGTCAAAAGTTAGTAAACGCACAACTTGCAACAACCTGCTTTGTTGCAAGACAAGTATGAACATGGGTGGTAAAATGCAACACATAGCCTTTCAACTTATTTTGCAGCAATGTTATAGTCTGAACAAGTTGTACGTTTTTTGTCCATTTTCAGTAGATTGACTATTGTCACTTAACACTTTCAACACTATTTAAAGCAGTTTTCTGGCGCAAACAGAGGGTGTCTGTAACACTACGCACTGGAAATCGGGCAACCTTGCAGATATAGGACAACCCCAAGGGATTGGTTAGGAAAACAATGAAATAACAAAGTTAACAATGGAACATATCCCGAAAACCAAACAGCTGCGACCTATAGGGGTCTAATTAAATTAGAGGCTCTGAAGAGCTACAATCGTAAGGTAACTCCTTTATGTGAAGAACACATGAACAGTTATGATAAAACTGATAAATTTGTGGCTGCAAGGTTACTGTGGATATCGGGCCAAACAAAGCAGCTCTCTTAGTTAGGATATGACTGGGCTCTAATTTCCATATTTGGAAAACTAATCAATGCAAGTGAAAGGACATGCTTTGAAAACAGAATGGTGGCCTGTTTCAACAATCTGAAAGATAAAGAAAGCATAGAAAGAAAGATGGACAAGAAAACTTTCAGTGCATTTTCCCTGCATTTGAACAAATATCAGACAGGAAGAGAGAATATTCCAGAGGAAAGTTTGCCACAAATTGCCAGGGATAAGTTGTATTAACTATGTGCTTTTTCCTTTGGTTTCATAAAATTATTAATTAACAAAAAAATACATAAGAAAAAGAAAATATCTTTACAATTGTACAATTGATGACTGCTGAAGCTGTCAAAGATATTTGAACCTGTTATGAACCATCAACATCAAGATATTCTCTTGAATCCTACTGCAAAGCCTTTCAGTTAGATCTAACATCCTTCAGTAAGATGTGTGCAGCATTTTTGCTGGATTTGGGAATATTTTCAATGAAATAAATAATATTACTGTTTTGGTTCTTTTCTTTACTGTAAAATTCTCCTTGTAATGATGTATTTCATAATTACATATGGGGTTTGCAGTACATGCAAATTAATTTTCATTTCAAAAACTTGTATGCTTTTTTTCTTTTTTTTTTTTTTTTCATTTTAAAAACTGTCAGTGTCTTGGTTGCTTTTTCTTCAAAATAGCCAGTGGCGAAAGGGTTAAATTTTGAAATAAAATCAGGGGTCCCCAGCCTTGTTAGGAGCAGGAGGGACTTGCATATACACCATGATTCCTTGAAATACCAGTATGATTATATTAAATTTTAATAGTACATGCTTTGAACACACTTCCGACGATTGTTTCTTTTTCTACAATGGGAAAAACTCCGTACTATTCAGGACAGAAAGTTACCGCTAGTTTTAAAAAAGAGAGAAAACAAAAAAGGTTAATACTCATTTAAGGGAAAATGAAGATTTACCTATCTGGAGAGCTCCAGCCTCAAGGCAAAAGCTTTAATGTGGGCACAAATCAAAAGAAATTATATGCAGCAAAGATGCCTGAGCACTTTTAAGGAAGAACCCTAAAGGAGTTGTCTCACGAAATTCGTTAACTTTCAGAAAGTGGGATTGAGTGAACATAAAAAAGACAGCTCAAAACATTACAAGAAGGTATAAATATCACAACAAAAAACACAAAGGGAGGCACGGATGGACAAACTTGAAGAAGATAAAAATGGATTGAAAATTGTGGTTTTTGAAAACTGGTTAGCCTAACTATTTTTTCAGGTTGATTTTTGTTGTCTGTAACATTTATATAATACTTGGACATACCATAAACTTAAGATTATAAGCCCCCCCCCGGACACATTTATAACTGTCCCCCTCCCTCCTCCCCCAGGGCTGATAATTGGAAGTTTATGGTATTCAGTTTGACATGAAAATGTGATTTTCTAATTTGCCTGTGATTCTGTCGCTGATGTTACAGTGTAAGATCCATCCTGAATAAGGGCATGTAAAATTGGCAATATTAGCAAAATGAAGTAGACTACCGTGACACAGCCACTTTTACATAGCAAGTCAGTTAATATCAGAAACTTTGTGAATGATAATTATTAAACGAGGTTTACAGTGGTCTTAACAATGTGATTCTTCAACCTTAACAAAAAGTGCACCAAGTTAGCAAGAAACTGGGACAAAGTGGTGGGCTGGGATTTTTTTCTGTTTTGTTCCATTGCTTACATCAGGGGGCATTTTAAGAGCCCAATTTGCACAGGAACACAATTAGAATGAATGCTGCCACCTCTGCGAAATATTTGAAGCCCTATGAATCCAAATGACATTGTTGGACCGGTCATCAATCAATATGACATTTACATTATATGACTCATGGAAACAAATTTATCTACATATTTACACTATATGCACACCTTGCTTTTAACCACAAATGTTACCTACCATAACGTACATTCCTTTCAAGATTTGATTAATAAAATAGTATCCTTTGGTTCAAATATGATAGCTTTAAAGCACCACCATGTTCATAAAGTAGCCGATGGCAAAATTATAACTCCACAATTCATAACAGGATAGTTATAAACCATGTTTTAAGACCTGCAATAATAACCAAGGAGGTGGCCACTGGTACCTAACGTTTGCTCCTGGGCAACTAGAAAATCTTGTTTTTTTTTCATAGAAAACATACTGGGCACCCTGGTAAAGTGTCTAAGCCTTTTGTCCCGAAGGAAATTAAAAAGAAATTTCACGTCGGAACTTATCGTCAAAAAATTGAACACGTCATTGGGACATATTCATCTAAGAAGTATAATAATAAAACTGTAAAAAAAGAAAACATAAATCCCAGTCTGATGATAAAATTCCTAGCGTAAACTCAGAACAAATACCATTCAAATAGGCTTTGAAATGCTCATACACTTTTAATGTCTTTTTTTTTTATGAAGTCGAAACTGCTGACAGCGAACATTTAACCTAACTTCTCAGTTTCAACCTTACATACAAATTAAGCAGGAAGCAGTTCTAAGAGTTTAAGACACAGTGACATTTAACTGAGACAGTCTCAAGCGTTTCTGAGACAAGAAAAAGACTTTCACCAATCTTGCAAAACCTGTGGAAACCATTCCACAGGCAATTATCAACATATACACTTTGAATTGTATCCTCCAAAATTTTGCAGTAAATAAAAATCTAGTGAGAACACAGCATCGACACTGAATGTGACAAGCAGAAAAAAGACTCTTGCATTCTCACCAAAAAGATAGCAGTGCATTGATCCATATTTTGCTGTTTTGATACTGAAAAGCAAGCTTGACACCCTAAAACTAACACTTGGGACATGCTTGAATGAAGCTTACTGTTAAAGGAATCCCTAGAGTCAACTTAACACATAACCAGACCATTTTCAGATATTTTTCTCCTATATTTAAGTAATGTTTCTCGCAAGGTTTAAGAACATGCCTGATTTGCATAAAAGGAATCGAGTCAATTGTTTCGCAGAAACCGTTCTAGCACATAGCATCCAAAACATGGTAGAGCTGTATATTGTACTATCGTCCGTTATCACCTTCAAGAGAAAAGAAAATTGGTAGAATATACTGAATCAAAGAATACTCTGCTCACCCACAATTCTCTGTTTATTTCACTGTTGCGAATTTATGTCCACGCGCAAGAGACGAGTTGTAGATTTCTCTTTCGAATGTCAGTTTCAGTCCATACATGTTGAAATAAACTTAAGTTGAATCAACGAATGGCGAAATTTTCCAAATCACCTTCTATATAAGTTTTTAGTCCTGCCTTTTAAAAAACTTAATTTCTTTATTTTCTTCACGAGATCTGATGCAAGATGTTATAAAGAATATTTAAGCTTCATATCGATTGTAAAGGAAATCAAAAGTTCGTACGGAAACTTTCAAATCTCACGTCAAAAGAGCTCGTGCTTGGTTTGTTTACGAAGATCCGAGTGCTTTTTTCTTTCTTAAACAATGTTTTGAACTCTATTTTGCTCAAAACCACTATAAATGCATCTGAAGATTCGACCTATTCGCTGGCAACCACAACGAAAATCGCAAAACAGTGTCAACTTGAGGTCATGAAATGGACTAACACTCTGAAAACACAGTTTCATTCAAAACCTCGACTTTTGAAGCGCTAAGAGAATGAATAGAGCCGGCAAAATATCATGTATAATTGCGGTTTCTTCAATTTGACGGCGCATTCCATATGAAAGATTCTTACGCATTAAACGTTGGCGTAATCAATTTCAAGCTAGAGAAGCTTTCATTAATCTGTCTCGAAGAGCCGGCAGAAAGAACTAGCAGCGACACTGGGGAAAACGTTTCTGCGAAAACAAGTCGGTGGCACCCTGTTAAAAGCCAAACGCGACAAAAAATTCAAGCAAAAGGGGGCCACAGACATTCACACGACGAGATCTTTTGTAAACAAAAAATAGACCAATCTTTTTACACGCTCGACGTGGAAAAAACCCTGGGTTGGCCGAACAAATATCGGTGAGGATTTCTCCCCCTTACCGTAAAGATTGTAAAGTGCTGCCACTACGCTAAAAGAGGTTAAAATTTAAGTCGATGACCATTTAAGATGCGAAAACATGTCTTGGAAACACAGGAGAATAGTTCGAATGTAAGCGCCTTTTGGCTTCGCTTCGAATAAACTTAGAAGTACGAAGTGAATATGTTGGGTTCTATACCGAAATATATATTTAAAAAACACAAACACACAAGTATTCAGGTCGTACATTGAAGAAGTTTGATCCGATTAAATACAAAAAATGAGCTGAATAACCGCCAACTAGCTGAAAAGAGAGAAAAAGGCAAGCAAGTACATGATCTCTTACTTGCATCGCAGCCGCGAGTCACAGCCAGCTTTGTATATTTTTGCCTTTAGAAAAAGACGAATTATAAATCTACCTGCATTTGTGCTTGATATAACTTCATGGGTCCCAGCAAAACTTCCTTTCTCTCATTCTATAATAGAAATATCCAAACAAAAAATATCAACGGAATTTGTGAGCAAGAAGGAACAAATTTCGAGGAAAATGTCCGCAAAGCAGTTTTTAATCGCTAACAGAAGTCGACCACTGAGCCCAAACGGGAAAATAACAGTCTTTTACCTCGTCATCCATAGTACTCGGGTCGTACGTCTGAGTTTCTGCTTCGATAGAACTGCCTCTGTGTGAATTTTGCCCCTTTTTGATAATTCCACGATTGCGAGATGATGAAGAAGAAGAAATATGGGAACCAGAGTCGGAGCTTGTGCGAATATGGCCGACAATCTCACTGGGTGAAGATGGTCGTGGTCGGGGGCTTGATCCTTCGCGAATGTCGTCTCTACAATAAAATACTCCAGATTGTGAGACGTGTATGCTAGGAGCACAGCCCATTTATAGGGCTTAATAGGAAGAACATTCACAGTCAACTTGAACGCAAATTGCAACCGAACTTCCACAAGCAGTCAATAAGGTCCACAAGATATTAGAATTATTTCGCCTTCCCACATGCAATTCAAGGTCCCCCAACCAAAAGCGTCAATTGTCGGCGGCGAATAAGCATGTGGTACGCTGAAAATACAGCTAGCCCGCAAAGTTCGCACAATCCATGGCCGATGTTTAATCTCCTCAATCAACCCTTGGAAGAGCTGATTTCTATACCACTCGGCACAATCACTCGGATTTGAAAATTTCAACCTTCTTCGCTTAAAGAAGCTGTTGCTGTTATGGGAACAAACTTTTGGGTCGCTCGTCATGTAACGAGGTCCAATCCCCGTCCTTCAATCCCTGCCATGTGACCTATTAACAAATTTGCTACAGAATCGATACCGAATCGGCAACATACGATCGAGATCTTCGGTAGCAGCCGTTACATCGTCGGCTTCCGATCGAACAGCTGCACTCTGCTCGGCACATCCCAGTGTAACTTTGCGTTTATTTACTTGCAGGGCGGTCGACACAAATAAAAGATATTGCCAAAAATATATAAGATGAAATACAAGAAAGTGCTAAAACGTTTCCTCGATATCAGGAGCAAAAAAGCAGTTGGCAGTCCGGCAAAATTATAAATAGCTTTCTTGGTTTTGGCGCGTGTAAGTTACTTTCAAATTTCTGGGTTGAATATGAAACTCCCGAGGAAACAGGCAATGTACACAAAGAGAACCNTGTTTAATCTCCTCAATCAACCCTTGGAAGAGCTGATTTCTATACCACTCGGCACAATCACTCGGATTTGAAAATTTCAACCTTCTTCGCTTAAAGAAGCTGTTGCTGTTATGGGAACAAACTTTTGGGTCGCTCGTCATGTAACGAGGTCCAATCCCCGTCCTTCAATCCCTGCCATGTGACCTATTAACAAATTTGCTACAGAATCGATACCGAATCGGCAACATACGATCGAGATCTTCGGTAGCAGCCGTTACATCGTCGGCTTCCGATCGAACAGCTGCACTCTGCTCGGCACATCCCAGTGTAACTTTGCGTTTTATTTACTTGCAGGGCGGTCGACACAAATAAAAGATATTGCCAAAAATATATAAGATGAAATACAAGAAAGTGCTAAAACGTTTCCTCGATATCAGCAGCAAAAAAGCAGTTGGCAGTCCGGCAAAATTATAAATAGCTTTCTTGGTTTTGGCGCGTGTAAGTTACTTTCAAATTTCTGGGTTGAATATGAAACTCCCGAGGAAACAGGCAATGTACACAAAGAGAACCTTTTAGAGGTGACGTCACACCTAACACAGATGGTCTGTGTTAGACTGAAAAAGAACAAATGGTAATTATTCATGAACAATTTTTTTCTCGATGGTGTACAAGACAATTAAAACTGTCTCAATGGAATTGAACTAACATTATATCTGCAGAAATACTAAAGGAATTTTTGAACGAAGAGTTCCTCTTTGTTTTCAAAAACCCATATTACTGCTAGTCGATGTAAATTTGAAGGTATACTGTTGTCTTTTTAACCGCTCTTAAAAGTGAATTAACTGATCCGCTGATCTACTTTTACAGTTTCAGTTCTAGGTTTTTAAGCATTATTTTCTCTATATTATGCAGCGTTTTCATCAGCTGTTTTCATTAAAATGTTATTCAATTTAAAGCCTGCGAGGAAAAAACAGAAGCCGTCTACTTCCCAGCAGCTAACAGAATTTAAAAAAGAACTGATAAAAATCCTTGCTATAATCAAGATACTAAGAAGAGCCGTTTGCGACCTTTGCTTTTCCAAACCAGTCACAATCTGCGAAAAGTCCTGCTATGAAAGGTCTATCCTCTCTTTTCGTTAGAGGCTCTTTCATCACTAAGGTGTGTTCCTGTTTTCAAAGACCAATTCCGATATATTAAAATTCATACTTGGCTGCGATGCTTGGGGGAATAAACCAAAAGAAATCATATTGAGGCTCAAGTAATGAATAATACATTGCTTTTGTTTTATTCCCCGAGCCTCGGAGCCAAGTATGAATTTTAACATATCGAAAATGGTCTATCCACTTCCCTTACAACGCTGTTCAGTACTAAGACAGGAAACATTTCCGAGGGTGCGACCAACTTTCGTTTTAACCAGCACATCCTCCTATTTGAAATCTCCCCAGAGTGGATGCCTGTTAAAGCCATGAAACGTGTTTTGAGCTTGGTATCCCACGACTGCTTCACCTCCGGGAAAACAGCACCGAGCGGGAAGGTGATTCAGGAACAAGGAACTAAACGCTTCAACAATATGGTGACTTTATTTGGACAAGGTGGTGGTTTTGCAAACCTGGTACAGCTTTCAGAGGCCAGGGGCCCGTTTCTCGAAGCTCCCGGTAATTACCGAGCCCGTTAAGCTGTTTTGTTTTTCATTTTAGAAGGGAGTTTTAAATGTTTTGAAAATTATACAGTAGAGTTATTAGCTAACGAAACAAAATGGACTTCATTAGAGGTCAGAACACACCCTACTTTTCTTGAGACTTTGATTTAAAAATATGATTCCGGGCCCGTTAAGTTACCGGGACTTTCGAGAAACGGGCCCCAGGTCTGAAAATGGGTGTGCAAAGTCGCATGTTTTGATCTGAAATAGGCCCGGATCTAGAGAATCAGGTGGCCGATACTCCCATAAGGCATTCCTAGGGGTACCCGCGGGAGGTCCGGCCCAAGCTAGAGGAGATATGTGATTCAGCATTTTTAGTCGGAAAATGGTCAATTGAAAGAAATACAGAATTTACTCTGAGGTTTTAAAACTTGTGTTCAGTAGGGAGACAAAATACCCATCCAGAAAATTTCGGACACTGAGTGTAGTGTATACGATGCTAATGCAAGCGCGTAGAAGCGAGAGAATGAATGTGATGTGATACACACGGGGATTACGTAATTTGCATGTACTATAGATAGCGTGTGTTGTAATTTATTCGAGTGGGTTAGCGTTCTGAGTTCGGAGTGTAACGGTCGTGAATAAAGTGTGTTTTAACCTAACCGCGGTACTACATTGGCGACGAGGATATTTCGAGGATATTTCGAGGATATTTCGAGGATTTCGCCGAGGGTTTCAAGAGTTTCGTTGAAAATCTCGCTGTGGATTTCGTCGAGGATTTCGTCAAGGATTTATTTCAGCGATGCCGGGAGGCGGTGGATCGGGCGAAACTAACGCGACAAGCGGTACTACGAGCGGTGCTGTTGGCGGTTCTGGGATGACTTCTGTTACTTTAGATGTCAGTGGATTGGAACCATTTAATCCAAAAGGAGAGGCGCACAATTTAAGTCAGCGATGGAAGAAGTGGAAGCGAGCGTTCAGTTTGTATGTGACCGGGAAAGGTGTATCGAACGACGCTCAAAAACGTGCTTTGCTGTTGCATGTCGCTGGTATGGATGTGCAAGAAATTTATTTCACACTAGCTGGTGAGGGTGGAGATGCAAGTTTTGAAGCAACGTTAAAGGTGTTGGACGACCATTTCGTGCCAAAGGCGAACATTCCCTTTGAGAGACATTTGTTTCGACAAATTTCGCAAGGGATCGGAGAGACAGTTGATCAGTTCGTTTGTAGATTGCGTCAGCGAGCAGCGACTTGTGATTTTGGCGCCGGCGAGGATGACTACATTCGCGATCAGCTCATAGACAAGTGTTATTCGAGCCATTTACGCCGGAAATTTCTGGAAAAGGAAGGAACTGTTACGTTAGATGAATTGTTGCGTGTTGCAAGATCCCAAGAAGCGGTTGATCGACAACTGAAGCAATACAGTACCGACCAAGCAGATAACCAGGTCAATGCAGTGGGTGGCAGGCTGTATGGAAACAAAAATCCCAGGAAAGCAAAGACGTGCTTTAGCTGCGGACAAGAAGGACACTTCAGTCAAGACAAAAAGTGCCCGGCGCGTGGTCAAACTTGCAGGAAGTGCGGCGAAACAGGCCATTTCAAAGTTAAATGCCCTCGACTCCATCAGCTAAGCAGGACCCATTCGGGATCTAGAGGACCTGAGAGTAGCAGAGGCGGACGCGGCAGAGGAGGCAGGAGTGCTGGTGGACTGGGTCGAGGTGGACGCGGACGCGGAGGGCGAGAGACGAACCTCGTGACTGGAAGACCTAGCCCTGGAGAGGAAGACAAAGGAGATTTCGCTGCATCAGGTCATTCGCAAAGACCCGATTATGCCTTTTCAGTGGAACAGGTGAATGATCGCAAGGAACAAAGGGGCGCTTTGGTAACGCTGGTCATTGGTGGTGTAGACGTACCCGATGTTCTCATTGATTCGGGAGCTTCATGTAATGTTATGGGCCAGCAGACCTGGGAGTTGTTAAAGCAAAAGGGGATTAACTGTGAATCTCGCAAATCTGCAAAGGAACTTTTTGCTTATGGTGGTACAGAACCTTTACCGACCCTAGGAACGTTCACGGCAGATGTCACGCTGGCTGGGTTTGAAAACGGAAGTAATGCTGATTTTGTGGTGGTTGAAGGCGATGGTCGCACGCTGTTGGGCCGAGAGACTGCCGAGGCGCTAAACCTGTTGCGTATTGGTCCTTTTCAGACAAACAGTGTTGACGGTGGGCGATCGGACGGGGATGTCAGAGAGAAATACAAGCACTTGTTTAGTGGTGTTGGTCTTTTGAAGGGCTACGAGCTTAAGCTACACATTGATGAGTCGGTGAAGCCTGTAGCGCAGCATGTACGTAGGATACCGTTCGGGTTACGCGAGAAGGTGGATGCAAAGCTGGATGAACTTTTGGAGCTTGACATTATAGAGGAAGTGCCGGAGGGGCCGTCAGGATGGATTTCGCCGTTGGTGGTGGTTCCCAAAAGCGATGGCGACGTAAGAGTCTGTGTTGATATGCGTCGTGCAAATGAAGCAATCGTCCGAGAGCGTCACCCAATTCCAACCGTTGAGGAGCTGTTACACGACTTGAATGGCAGTACGGTGTTCAGCAAGATAGATCTCAAGTGGGGTTTTCACCAGATTTTACTCAGTGAGGAAAGTCGCCACATCACTACCTTTGCCACGCATCGAGGGCTTTATCGTTACAAGCGGTTGATGTTTGGCGTAACGTCGGCGCCGGAGAAATATCAGCAGATCATTAGAGATGTGTTAAGGGGTTGTGCTGGGGTTGCGAACATTGCGGACGATCTCATTGTTCATGGGTGTGACGTGGAGGAACATGACAAGCGTCTTTTTGCGGTGTTAGATAGGCTGAGTGAAGTGGGGTTGACGGTGAACGGAGACAAGTGCGAGTTTAGATTGTCAAGGCTTACGTTCTTTGGTCACGAGCTGACTAGTGACGGCATAAA